TCCGCTAAAAAAAGCTGTTTCATTTAACTTATTTACCTTTATTTTGTAGCCTGTTATTTAACTAGTTACTAGTTAGTGTTAAACACGAAAGAACACTTGACACTTTCGCGACGAGCGACAGCCAGGTAAATCGTCTAGCTGGATACGGCATATAATTTCTAAATTATCTGTAACAAAGTACGGCAAGATTCTGTTATTTGCAGAATAACAGAACACGTTGAATATAAGAAATATTACATTTGAGTATGATACTTATAGTCATTTGTTGTTCAAAGTCCAAAAAAATTAAACATTACAAATGCGTATAGAAAAATTTCTTTTTTTAATAAAATGTATTCAGCTAAAATATTTGAAATGGCATAGAACTACGTTGCCCGCAGTCTACTAAAGTAATTGAAAGAACGTAGGACTATGTTTCTCCTCACGAAAGTGAAAATTATATTAAGTAGGGGAACTGGGGTAAGTTATTGCAGTGAGATTTTCTGAATACTTATTGTACGCAGTTCAATCAGGATAACGTATTACTCGTCGAACGCAATTAATTGGTTAAGTTCTTTATTGATACTCGATGCCGATGAAAAATTTGCAATCTTGCCGTTGAACGATTTTGCGATATTTACATTAAAAATCGAGGAGTTCTGGATTAACCACTATTTTTTCATTGAATTCTGGTTTTTCCTTGTTCATCATACGCCAAAAAATTAAGGAAACACAATGTCGTAATATCGTATGTTGTTGTTCAGCACTTGGTTATTTTGAAGAGAATGTAAATTATGATGTAGATATAGCTAACAATTAATTAAAATCAATAAAAACGGATTTATACGTATATAGGCTAAGTTTTAGTTTAACGTTTTAACACTAACCGTACCGGCACTTTTCTTATTGTAACCAATCAAATAATTGCCTACAAAATAAAGGTAAACAAGTTAGATGATAAATTGTTTTTAATGGAAATAGAAACATAAGGAAAGACAAAAATTAAAAACACGATTAATTGGACAATATAGGAATTGATATAAACTTAAATGAACGACAGAAAACGCAGGAATTAAAATCCGGTCATTTGACCGATTCTCGCTATGATTAGTATTAATGTCCACTAATTTACAAGTAAAACGTGCTGTTATCAGTGAAGTGAATATAAAATCAGTTACAAACTTATGTACATTTGTCAGATTTCGAGTATTTAAAGAAAATAATTCTTCGTAAGGTTCAGTTTTAGGTTTACTTATACTTTCTTGTAAACAAATTCAGGGGACGTCATCATTCTTTCAGAGTCTACTTAATTTTAATTCAAAAGTGGTAAATGATAAATTCTTATTTTTGAAATTTTTTGGTGAAAAACTTTTTCAAAAAATAAGTTAGCCCAATTTAAGTTCTTAAATTACAGACTGTTTATTATTTTGTCCTATATTGTTTTGCATATTTCAAAATAAAGAAATAATGAAATTATCTTTTCCTTGAAATTGAAATTATTACAAATAGATTGATATTTTCGGTATTTTTAAGTCAGTTTACCATACTAAACTCACTTAACTTACTTAGATTTCTGTGTAAATATCTCTCTTTTCGCGACAAGAAACAATATCAACATTTTTTATGATTACAAACAGTACAATTGTCTGAAAAAGAATTTTGAGAAAAATACAAAAAAGTCACTATAATTTTGTTCACAGATTCTAACATACATATATATAGTCAGTAGCGAAAATATTTAAACAGCATAGTATGAAATAAATTATCATTAAAAATATTGTATACGGTATATTGCTGTCTATTGAAACATGGATATATTTATGAAATACAAACTTTTTAATATTTAGCAATACACAAACGAGATATGGAACGGTTATTGTGTCTAAGCATGTATAACGTTCCATATACCAGTAATGGTATGCATTCATTACAATTTGATGTATAACATTTGATTATATAATCAATGAAAAGCAAATTTAGGATTCTTAGGTTTTTATACATTTGAAGCTAAATAGTACAGCTGAAAAAATAATGTTGAAACAAGGATTATTAACGAGTCATATGTGTTGTCTTTTATTTCATCTTTTCGCGTAAACTGAGAGGACTGTAATTGTCCAAATATTTTGGAACGGCAGCGTATGACAATCGAATATCAAAAGGCCAAGGAGGAATATCTCACAGAATCAGTCAGATGAATTTTGTTGTCACATCATTGAAATTGAGGAAGCTATTAATATTTTTGCGACATGGTATTTACAATTTTGCAATCTTTGCTAGACATAACATGTAGCGTCGTGTGTAAACTTTCTGCCAATGCAATATAATAACTAAATATAGAAATTATATCAAATTTGAACGATAGTGAGATATTTGGTTTAGCTGAGTATGTTCCTACTCAGTTACAAAACTAAGATTATCATTGAATGTTTGAATAATTACTTACTGCTACGTAAATATATTAATAATCACCATCTAAGGTTAAATACGTTTTATTATTACAGTTCATGCACAAGACAACGAAAAAGATAAAATGAAATTTCTTTAATATAATACCGGATAGGACTAAGTATATTAAAACATATTTTATTAACATAAAAATTGGCGAATAAAGAGAGTTTTTGTTTTAAATTATTAATTGATTAATTCATACGTAATTTAATTAGGGGAAGATGAGGCAAGCTTGGATAATTATTTATTTCGAGTTATTATGCATCCATGCCATTAATAATAAAAAATACTTTAAATTAACTATTTCATTATAATGATTAATTATAAAGTAGACAATACGTTGCTACTGGTTAGAATTTATTTACTACGTTTTTGTGCGTTCACCGGTCATAATTTTAATTCTTACGATTGGGATCTTATTCTTTGACGTGTTTTAAACATTAACAGTTCAGTAACAATTCTCAATCATATGATTACGTCATTGCCATCAGATAGGCAATTTTTTAAGGTTTTTATTTATATGCTTATAAATATCAATTGTAAATATATAAATGGAGCAACCTTTAGGGTAAGAAGTCTTTATCAACAAAAACTTTTATCGAGATAATGATCTACAATGAGATTCAATAACGGCATATGCACAAGTGCACGTGTACCCGATTTTCTTGAAAACATAGCCTCACATCTAAAAATTTTATTGTATATTTTTGACTTATTTTTTCATGTAGACTCACTCCCTTTTTGATTGTACTACCAGATATCGAACTCCCTGTATATCGGTTCCCACTGAAACAGTTATGGAGAATTGAAATAAAGTCATAAATTTTACTTGGTAAATTGGTTCTAAACTATATTGATTTTGATTTCAGTTCTTCAGAATCGATATTATATCGGTTCTATACCAGTTCTATAATTGTCATTTTTCGGTTCTACATTTCGGTTCTGTATTTCGGTTTAATATTTTATTATTAATTATTCGCACATTGAATTAAATAAATATAATTACAAATACAAATTAATTGTGAGGCCGATTTTAAATAGCAATTTACAAATCAGAAAATTATAGAAAATTTCTGCGAGAATGATATTTGCACCGACCTAAATAAATGTATATGTTCAAAACAAGGTTAATTGAAATTCGTTAACAGTAAATTTACGGAATGCGTCAATTTGACGCATATTATATTTTATAAACATTATTTGGTAAATGTTTTCATCGATTTTGACTGATGCAATTACACAAGTATTTATGTTAATTGTGTATTCTTATACCTCTAATTTCTAAGATCTAAATGAACGAACATTAATTTTCATAGAAACAATGAAATAAATTGTAGAAAAAGTATCTCCAAATTTAATGTTAAAAATGCTAACGATGGCAAAAACATATTTTTACATTTATGACGTGATTAATGATAAGTTCGCAACTTATATATGTAAAGTTTGTTTTTTTATTGATCATTATCTATTATAAAATAGAAATGAGTATTCATATACATAAAATACAAAATTCCTCCTTTTAAATAAATTGTCATAAATAAAATTTTGAACATTTAAAAGAGTGAATAAATGTGGTACGTGGGAGTGTTTAGGTTATCTGGTTGTGGAACAATGGTAGCTTTTTGTCGCAGGTTCGCGCCCCGCATGGTATAACTTGTGTTTATAATATTTTTTTTTACGATCATAATCTTCTTTCACTCTTCTATCCTTTAAAATATTTTAAGAACATTCATAGGTAAATATCATTTAATGTCATATAATTAATACTTGAAAAAGAAAAATTCTCTGCATAATCTTTTTTTATTATTATAATTGTCTCTTTATTATTATAATTTCTTTTTTATACTTTTAAAATGTTCTAAGAATATTTTAAAGTGATTATCACTTATCGTCTATTAATTAAAAAACTATATTATAAAGGACTTGTATCCTGAAGAGCGCGAACATGCGACAAAAAAATCTCCAACTGCGGAGCAGTTGGATAATCGAAACACTTCATCAAATAAATTCTTGTACCATGTAATGAAATTAATTACGGTATTAATTACGGTTCTACCTGAAATGCATCTAAAAGTTAGTTTTTCATTTTTTTAACAATGACGCAGCAAGCCAAAAATCTGAAAAAATTTGAGAATGTTTGTCAAACCAATATGTCCACTACTGTAAAAATTAAGAAGTTGTCGCTCGAATGCTTCATTGCGAAACTTGCATTTTTCTATTTTCTGGGGAGTTTTTCATTTTTCATGCTAAGAATTTGGAACGGAAAAATCTCAAAAAATTCTCAGCCATGCACTGCTTTGTCAAAAGTGTCTCTGAATCTTTTTACAATTTTTATTTACCATTAAATAGGGAAAAAGGGCAAAATTGATCATTCAAATTTATCCTATAAACTACCCTTCTGGTTGAGATAGAGGATTGAAAATCGATATACAATGTTTTCTATGGATAAGCTATCGAAGGAAACTTTTGTGACAAAAATCGGTCTAAGGACATTTTTGACCCCCTTATCCTGCTATAACCTTTCAGCCATAAAATATGTGTAACAGAGAAGTCATGGGTACAATGAAATGATTGTAAGCAGGTGGTCTTAGTTATTCATTGTCAATGCTTCTCATCTGAATCAGATGATTGCCGATGTACCCTAACCTATCTCAAATGATACGATTTGTCAATTATGTGAAAATAGCAGATCGTTATTCTAATTATTTGGAATCAGTGAAGGTTATTAGAAAAGAATGACAGACCGTGTATGAGTCATTCGTTTTATATTGTTTATCTTTGTAACGTGAATCGTAAATAAGTGCAGATATACAGATTTATGTTAGTGAAATGAAGTGATTTTGTATGGATCCTATAAAAAGAACAAAAAATTATGTTACTTGCTGCACATTCATAATACTGCAAATATTAATTGAAGTCTGGTACTTAATTCTATATTTTATTTAAATTTTGTTATTATTGTATGCCAATTTTAAATTTATAAATTTGAAAATTAGAATAATAAAGATATGTTATAGCTTGTCAATTTATTTTGCTTACTTAAATTTATGCTGAATCTTAAGTTACAAATTATATTATAAAATTGCAATGAATTAATGATATTAAATTCAAGTTTTAGGAAGTACATGACAATAATTTTGTTACAGAGAAACTCTGAAAAAGATAATATCATCAAGTATTTAATTTATAGAAATGATGATGGAGTTGAGTCATAGCTTGACCCTCAATGAGGATGCCCTTAATCAAATCCCAGAGGCCAAACGACCAGTTTTTATATTTGAATGGTTGCGTTTTTTAGACAAGGTTTTAATAGCTGCACAAAAGGTATTGTTCTTTTTTTTTAGTACATATTAATTTTTTGTAATTATTTGTATTTAGATCAGTTGTTTTACTTTAAATTAATAATAAATTTATGCAAAACTAATTTAGTAAGTATATAATTATATGTACATTGTGAATTACTAAAGGAAATATTTTTTATTCGATTCGGTTATTGATACTCTTAGCATATGAATTCCTAAACTAATTTCTAAAAAATAATAATGTCTATAAAGAAATTAAAATATTAAACCATTGGACAATGTTAATAAGAGTTTTATTATTATGAATAAGTATATCTATTACAATAATTTTCCATTTTTAGAGCGATATTAAAGGATGCCAACAGAAACTGGTAGAGCAATTAACTAAGCATATGCAGGGTGCTCCTGGTCCTCCTACACGTAGACTCATTGCAAGATGTCTTGCTACATTATTCAGTGTTGGCGATACATTTTTGCTTTTTGATACTGTTAATAAATGCAATGATATACTCAGAAATAAGGATGACTCTCCAAGTTTTCTCCCAACAAAATTGTAAATAATTATTTATTTTTGTTTTAATACAATACATGAAGTATAAAATATATTAAACTTTAAACTGCTTTTAGAGCTGCTATATGCTGTGTAGGGTGTATGTATGAAAAGTTAGGACGAATGATGGGTAGATCGTATGAAGAGACTGTCCAAATTCTGATAAAATCTTTGCGCTCTGCAGAATCACAGACACGAATAGAAATTATGCACACCCTTGAAAAGGTAATAATTTCGATTACACAAAATATAAGATTACTTTGAACTTTTTATATAAATTTAATTTAATAGGTTTGTGCTGGCATGGGATCTGCAATTACTAATGTTCATAAAGAAATATATAAAGTTTCTAGACATTACCTTACAGACAGAGTAATGGCTGTAAGATGTGCTGCTGCAAAGGTATATCATGATTGTTATTTTTATTTCTGTATATACAATATTTAAAATGTAAAAAATATTTACAGTGTTTACTGGAAATGTTAAATCATGCTCCATTTTTATACACAACTGAAATAGAAAGTGTTGCCACACTCTGTTTCCGGGCATTTGAAGGCTCAAATTATGAAGTGAGATGCGCTGTTGCAAAACTATTGGGTAGTTTAGTAGCAGTGACTCAACTTTCAACTCCAAAAGGAAAAAATCCTTCAGGTATTTTGCACAGTCGTGCTCAATTACTTAAACTCTAAGCAAAAAATATTTTTAATAACCATTACTCTTGTTTAGTGACACAGAACAAAAATTATAAACAAATTTCCCTTGATGAGGTATTGAATATTTTAATGTCCGGTTTTCTAAGGGGTGGAGTAGGTTTTTTAAAAGGTACTGGTGAAATAATCAAAGGAAGTTCTAGCATTAATAGGGAAGTGCGAGTTGGTGTTACACACGTAAGAAAAGATACAAATATAAATAGTATATTAATATTCATATTGTGGATAATTTATTGATTTTTTAATACTTTAGGCATATGTGGTATTTGTGCAAATGTTAGGAGGTTCATGGCTCGAACGTAATGTTGGCGCATTAGTTGCACATGTACTCGATCTTGTGACTAATCCAAAAGCTGCTAGCTCACATGTCGATGCTGTATATTCTAGAAAATGTGTCAATTTTATACTACACGGTACTATTGGAAAATTATTAGGTGAAGGAGCTCAAGCTGCTGCTTGCAAGGAAATAGCGCACATTATTTTGAAACAAATGAATTCTATTGGTAAAATCAGTTATTCGTATTATTGAAGTTCCATGTTTTCTAAATCATACTTACTATATTTTGTATTTTGACTTTTAGATTTTAGTCCAGAAAATGCTAAAGATTGTAATCAGGAAACATTATTTAGTCAACATTTGTTAGTCTGTGCATTACAAGAAATGGGGAATCTAATCTTAGGACTGGGCACAACAGCTTGCAATTTGCTGTCTGATCAGTCATTAAGTCTGTACTTTATTTTATACACTTACTTATTTTAATTACTTACTTATTTTTTAATACTAATATTACTTTATATAATTTTAGATTTAATTGATACGATTATGGCTGTTCTAATCCATCCATGCCAAGCGGCGAGACTTGCAGCCTCTTGGTGTTTACGTTGTATTTGTGTAGCTGTTCCTAGTCAAATAACACCTTTGATCGATCGTTGTGTGGAAGGAATTGAAAATATGCGTAGTTCACCAGAGGCAATAGCTGGTTACAGTAGTGCCCTAGCTGCTGTTCTTGGTAGTGTCCGATTATCACCACTTGGAGTTCCTCATACAAAAGGAAAAGTAAGTTTTTAAACATTTTAAACTATAAAATAGTCGTTCACTAAAGAGTTTCATTATGTTACTATTATTAAATTTATCTGTTTCAATCTGCAGATCATTTTCAATACTGCAGAAGAGCTTTTGAGAAGTGCAAGTCAAAATAGTCGTTTATCGTTAAATAGAACTCATGCTGGATGGCTTCTAATTGGAGCTATAATGACTCTTGGTATGTAATGGTTTGAATTTATTAAATTGCATCTACATAATGAACACACGGCATTTTATTATTTATACAATTATAATCTTACCTACATAGGTACAGCGGTAGTAAAGGGACTATTGCCTAGAATGCTATTATTGTGGAGAAATTCTTTTCCCCGTTCGAATAAAGAACTTGAAAGTGAAAAAGCTAGAGGTGATGCATTTACATGGCAAGTAACTTTAGAAGGCAGAGCTGGTGCTTTATCAGCGATGCATAGCTTCCTATTGCATTGTCCAGAACTTTTAAATGATGATATTACAAGACGTCTTTTGACACCCATTGAGTCTGCATTGGCAATGTTAACGAAGTATGTGAACTTAATATTTCTTATTTGTAGCAAATATTTTAAAAGTAGTACATATACATATATATCAAGAAATAAAATTTTAGCTTGTCACCTGTGTTAAAAAATTATGGACAACAGTTAAAAGCTCCAGCTGCTATGGTTCGTTTACGTTTATATGAAACATTATTGTTGTTGCCATCTCAAACTTTCGAAGGTAAGTATAAACATTTGTTGTTTCAAAAATGATTTACCTTAGTACATATTTACGTATTAACCTACAAGTATGTAATGAATTAAATAGGTTCTTACACCCACCTTCTAAGAATGTTAGTATCGGAATTTACTTTGACTGAAAATCCCGGAAACACAACAACTTCACTGTTACGTGCTGTTTGTCATGCTAATGATTCTGTGATTCTTGGCACATGGTTGCAAGAAACGGATCATCGTACAATAGAAGATCAAGTAAGCATTAAAATGCATTCTACAATAGTATTCTCATTGATTAATTTAAATCATGCGGCACCAGTGTATTGTCTTTACATTACTGGTATTTACTAATATAAAAGTGTACATAAGTAGCATTTCATAACAGATGCATTTCAAAGAGGGTATGTCAGTATGACATTTTTTCAGTTTTTTAACATTAATACATAACATTTGTGATCATGTCTAGATGGAACCCAACAGAAGGGCGGATTTGGAACATGTGAGTAATGTTCTATGAAGCCTTTCACTAGTCTCTAATAACATTACCATTTATCTATACTCTCTTCTACATTTTTGAAAATGTTACTCTGATTTTTAAGCATACTACAATATTGATTATTAATCTCAAAAAGATATTTCAGTTTCTTCTTGAATTTCTTAATGCATTCAGGACGATATCACATTTTCTATAAATCTTTATTACTTTCAGTATTTATTATGATTAAGCATTTTTACTTCAACATTTTCTACCCTTAATCTATGAATACAATGCAATTTTAATCATGTTATATGTTCATTAAATTATATTTTTCATTGATGTGTTATACGTTATTTAATTATTTTTTCTATATTTATTTTATGTATTATATATTCTTTTTTTTGTGCACAACTTATAGTAAAAAATAATACTTTTTCTTATGTTACGCATTTGTTTCAGCTTCAACCAAATAGTGCTGCAGGATCTGGAGCATTAGAGCACAATCCATGTTGTCTTTATAGACCAGTACCACAAGTAAATATTTCGAAATTTTGTCAAAACTTTGTCGTATTATAAGGTAAAATCATAAAGGTTTTACTTTTAATAATATTTACAGGATGAAATAATTCCTGGTCCTCTACCATTGGGAGTTGCTGTTATTGACCTATCTGTATCACTGTTTGGACAAATTTTCCCACGAGTAGCAAATAAGCATAGATTACAGATGCTGGATCACTTCAGCGAGTGCATAAAACATACAAAGTCTGGTAGACAAGAAGCGATCCAGATGAATGTTTTTACAGCTGTGTTAAGTGGATTGAAAGGTCTTAATGAAGCGAAAACCGGATTTGGCCAAGAAGATGTAAAAAAGTCTGCTACTAATTTAATTATTGTAAGACTTCATTTATTATTCATTGATTGAAAATTATTGATTATAACTATATACTACATACTTCGTACACATTTACAGAGTGCTTTAGTAAGCAGTAATTCAATATTAAGATGGGCAGCGGGTGAAGCTGTTGGAAGAATGGCACAAGTTATTTCCGATCCTAAATTTACAGCGGAATTGGCGCAAACAAGTTTTGATCGTCTGAAATCAGCTCGTGATGTTGCGAGTAGAACTGGCCATTCTTTAGCATTAGGATGTCTTCATAAATATGTTGGAGGGATGGGATCTAGTCAACATCTCAACACAAGTGTCAGTATTTTACTTGCACTTGCCCAAGATAACTCGTCACCTGTGGTGCAAGTAAGATATAAGATTGTGAATACATTTCTTTCATTTACATATGTAATGAGTTAAAATATTTCAATAACAATTCTTAATCATATCTAGAAAAAGACAAATTTAATGTAGTAATTCTATTTAGGTATGGGCGTTACATGCTCTTGCACTAATAGCTGACTCTGGTGGACCAATGTTTCGAGGCTATGTGGAACCTACGCTATCTTTAGCATTAACTCTTCTTCTCAATGTTCCTCATTCTTATATTGATGTACATCAATGTATAGGAAAAGTATTGTCAGCACTTATTACAACAATAGGACCAGAATTACAAGGTTAGTAAACCATATTATTTTTAATACATTTGAAAAATATATTAAAATTCAACTAGAAGTGAACACTAAAAAGCTTTGAACTATTCGTTTTTATAATTCTCAGGTAATACATCAACAATTTGTATGGCTCGTTCGTCATTTTTGTGTGCTTGTGCTATTATGCAAGACCATCAAGATCCTCTTGTACAAGCAGAAGCTACCGGATGCCTTCAACAATTGCATTTATTTGCCCCGAGACATGTTAACTTGTCTTCTTTAGTTCCTACACTATGCGTAAGATTACATGACGTAACACGAATACCATAAATATTATTAACTGTTACTTCAATATTATATTCTATTTTTTTTCCTTCATAGCGAACTTTGTCAAGTAATCACTTATTGTTACGCAAAGCTGCCATATCTTGTCTTCGTCAGTTAGCTCAACGTGAAGCTAAAGAAGTATGCGAGCATGCGATGACGTTAGCTAACGAAAGTCGAGACACTAATATGGTAGAAGGTCTTGTAATAACAGAAACTGGTCTTCCGGGTGTTCTGTTTAGTATGTTGGACACAGAAACTGATAGTAAATTAATTAAAGACATCCACGATACGTTAACTAGTATGTTACAAATTCTGGCAGCAGATAACTTATCACAATGGTTATCTTTATGCAAAGACGTTCTTACCATAGCATCAGGTATATCTAAGGGCTAAAAAAATATATGCGATTAATCTAAATAAATAAGAATAAAAATTTATATATTTTATTACATATAGAAACATGCGGCAATGAAGAAGGAAGTACTGTCAACGTTGAAGATAGTACTGCAGATAATGATAACGCAGATGCAGAAGGAGATGACGATCAAGCCGAATTTCATGCGGATGAATCTACGAAACAACGACCAACTGTTACTCCAAGATGGCCAACAAGAGTTTTCGCAGCTCAGTGTGTTAGAAGGATTGTAGCTGCTTGTGAGAATAATAAACAGGCACACTTTGACTTAGCATTAGCAAAGGAAATGCAACTATCTAAAGGAAAAAGTATGGCTTTCCGTTAATAATGTAACGGTGATTTTAATAATTGTAATTAACTTTTATTAATTTTTATTATTTTTAAAATAAGGCGACTTCTTAGTGTTACATCTTTCTGATTTGGTACGAATGGCGTTTATGGCAGCGACTAGTGATTGTGATCCTTTACGACTCGAAGGTTTAAAAACTCTTCAAGAGATTATAGATAAGTTTGCAAAAGTTCCTGAACCAGAATTTCCTGGACACTTGTTACTTGAACAGTTCCAAGCACAAGTAATTAATTATTTATAAATACTTAAATTATGAAATATGAACATCTGCATTTTTATATTTATTTTTGATAACTGATTCTTGTAGGTTGGAGCTGCATTAAGACCTGCATTTTCAGCAGAAACAGCATCGCATGTCACAGCTGCAGCTTGCCAAGCTTGCAGTGCCTGGATCGGAAGTGGAGTGGCTAGAGATTTGAATGACCTCCGTAGAGTGCATCAGCTACTTGTATCCTCTTTGGAAAAGTTAAGAGAAGGGCATACACGTCCACAACTTTATAATGAAAGTTTGTTAACGCTTGAAAGGTTAGCAATACTGAAAGCTTGGGCAGAGGTAAAATATAAACATTTTATAAAAACTATTTATTAATAAAAGCTGTAGTCTATATTTAATGATATCTGCTTCTCAACACCTTTCTTAGGTTTATGTTGTTGCTATGATAAGGGATGGTGCTGCACTAAACAGTAAAGATACATTCAATCAAAATGCAAACCACGTTAATGAAGGAAATGATGAAGACTTTGGAAAATTTGAATTTCAGACTGAAAGTTTATTGAGTTTAGTACAACCAGAATTATTAAGTTTGAGTCAGTATTGGTTAGCAGCTCTGAGAGACCACGCATTACTCTCTTTACCACCAGGTATGGTTATTTCCCAATGCTGTATATAGTAAAGTTCCTGTAAGTATTTATTGGTAATAACTAATTTCTTTTATTATTAGAGTTTTCTAGTCAGTTACCACACGATGGAGGTGCTTTTTATACAACAGACACAATGGACTCTGCTAGACCTCATTATGCAGAATCATGGGCACCGATACTTCACGCTGCGACACTCTGGCTGAACGCAAAAGGTTTTGGGTTGGAAGAAACAAACACTGATGTACAAACTTCAAATGCTGCAAATAATAATAACAACAACAACAACAATGATGTGTCGATTAAAGCTAATACCAATGTTGAACGTTTTCATTTATTATTTGGTAAATATTGTTAAAATAATAACTTGCAAAATACGGAATATACTATTTCGTAGTATTATTCTATATTATGTATTTATTTAACGTTTTAGGAATCTGCATAGAAGCTCTATGTAGTCCACGATCTTCAGAATCTTCACAGAATATAGAAACATGCTTAAATGCTTTATATACTTTATTAGACTCTGCATGGGCTCGTAAAGTATTGATTACAGATCGTTCTTTGCCACTTGAACTCTGTAATGTTCTTCATAGGTACGTTCTCGGTCAAGATAAATCTTAGGAAGTATCGTAAATAAGTTCATTTGCAAGTACGAACATGTCCTAATCTGCCGAAATTGATCTCGATTGGAAATGTGTATAACTGTAGTGAATACAAAACCACTTCTGGTCAATAAGCTATATTGTTATTTTACTGTTATATGAAACCAATAACACGAAATGTTGTGCAATGTATCTGAACGTATTTATATTACGAATATCAATTTATATGAAATTTATTTACATTTTTTATTGTAGGATGTTATTAACAAGAGAAAGTTATATAATCCAAATGATAGTAATGGAGGTTTTAAAACAAATAATGAAAGCTGCTCAAGAGGATTTAGTTGAAAAAAAGAAAAACAAATTAAAAGGTAGATAGTAATAAACTTAGTTCGTGTATATGTAAAAGTCATTTATACAGAAATCATATGTGTAATATTATTTTAGAAATTTCACCTGCACATGAAGAAAGTAATGAAACTCAAGACGTAGATTTATTAGGGGAAGGTGAAGAAAGTGGTGAACTTATTCCAGGAAAATCATTGGTATTTGCTATTCTCGAAGTGTGTTTGTGTCTCTTGGTACGTCAAATACCAGCATTAAATCCCAATCCCGGTGGTACGACTGCCATTTTATCTCAGAGAGGATACATGCCATCTGAAGAAAGTGGAAAACTGATCGCAGCTGCGCTTAGTATAATGGAATCTCTTCCTACACTCTGCTCTCCTCAAGGTAAGTACTTGTCTACAATGAGAGGCAGTAAAAAACTTTCAAATTGAAGGTAAAGAATAATGTATCCAGCATTGCACTCTTTCTTTTAGGAGCTATAGCAATTTTGCCAACATTATTATACCTAACAACTGGAGTAATAAGAGAAACTGCAGTACGCATGGATAATGAGTCCAATAAAACAGGATCTGACATACCAGTTCATGCAGCTTTGCATTGCATGAAAAATCTTATTACAAATAAATATGCGAAAGATCATAGAAGTCAAGATCAGTGGACAAGTCTTCTGCAGAGTGCTCTGGCTAAAATCATTGATCTCGCTAAAACTGGTAAATGAAATTAATAATCATAATTATTATAATTTATTACAAGTATATTATGAAGTCCTATATTTATAGGAACTGATGAAATAAAAATGGATGAAGTGGCAATGATATTGGGCATTGCAGTTTTTGTTCTTCATGCTTTGCCAGAAGTTGTAAGTGCACCGAATCTACAGTTTCCATGTATCAACCATTTTAGACACGCGTTTCAATCGGAAAATACAATGGTGAGTTGTACAATATTTTAATTACATCTGTAATAACATTTAGAATTTGCATTTATTATTTAATATTTCTAGGTTAAACTGAAATGCGTTCAAACATTAAGAACAATATTTTTACATCCAGAACGTACAATCAGTACGCCTTATATTCATGCATTAGCTCCTAGATTAGTGGAGTATCTGTGTAGCGACAAGAGCAAGCAAGTTACAAATGATATAGAATTATCGTTTACATTGGAATGTATTAGCACTGTTGAAGCTCTCATAGGACTCGCTGATCTTTCTCACCGTACGTAGTAAATTTGTATTACTTTTAAATAATTTATTCTATTGATAGAATTCTATCATTAATAGAATTAACAATAATATACTCGACTTAGATTAATTTTAACGAAAATTATTTTACACGCAATTCAGGAGATCTTTTACAAGGTGTGTAAAAAGTTGTAATATGTTTAGAAACTGATGCATTGTAATCTCCTTCATTCTTCTTATATATAATATAGTTACATCTTTTATATAATATTAAAATTTAATATATTCGTTTATTCATAACTAACTAGGTATACAAATGCTGACTTTACTTGTGCCAATCTTAATTAATTATTTATTGGAAGGAGATCAACTTCAACATGCTTCTAAATATCAGTTAAATCTTCATCAACAAAGTTTTCAATGGTTGAATAAGATAGGACCAAAATATCCTCAGGTATTGTATTTGCATAGACTAAATAATTATCCTTAGATATGATTAAATATGTAATAATCAACCTCGTAATGGTATATTCGAATTTCAGGAATTTAAGACATTAATGTCACAATCTACAGAACTGAAAACGAAATTAGAAAATGCTGTGAGATCTTCTCATCAACAAGCACAAAGGCATATTCGATCTGTAGATCTCGTGAAGCCGCAAATTAAGATCTCTGCACCATCTATTAAGCTCAAAACAGATTTTTCAAATTTTAATTGAAACTTTTTGTAATTCTTTTAACACATTGTGTACCTGTCTAGATATATAAACCTTTCTTGCTGTCAATGATAATTATTTAAGAAGGTTTTACATTTATAATTATCAAGTATAATCTGTCAACTATAATCATTTTTAACAACTGTTCATATTGTTTTTCTAATGGTTGTATAGAAACTATGAAAACACATATATTGCATTTCTATAATGAATAAGACGTAATAATGTATAATTTATCACACATTACCGACATATACAGTAACTGACAAAACTTTTATACTTGTTAATTTTTATTTAAAAAACTTTATTGTATTTATCTAAATACATTTTTTAAGAGACAAGCATAAGAACATTCTTATGTATGGTATACAATGTGTTAACTATAGTGCTAATAATATTAACAAGTACACAGTAATGTATAATCATTGTATTAATACATTAATTGAATTCCATCAATAGTTATTCTTAGAACAGATATGTAATTGATTACCACGTAAGGAGCTATAAAATTTTAACTGTCAAAATCTATACATCTGGAAAGTTTTATCAAATTTTTGTTGGTACTTATTTGTTAGTAAATACTAACATTGTATTCAACAAATCAGAATAATATTAAAATCACAAGGCCGAGTAATATTGGTAAAATTCATAATTATATTACAAAAGTCATTTTTTTATTGGTTGCATTTATATATTCTTAAATTAAGCAAATTTCTTAGTCTTTTAGTCGTTTTTTTAAAAATTGTATAGAGAAGTATTATATAAAATTAAAAAAGTTGTATATTAAAATTGTACAATTATATTTATATTTATTTAAAACTGTATTCTTATACAACCTTATAGAAACCATCAAATTATTTTGTTAATTTAACTTATATTTTTATTTATGAATCATTATCTCTATAATACTTATAGATTGAGTTAACGCTAGATTATTGCTGAAC